CGCACTCCTCTCAGCACGCAGAAGCTGCCGCCTTCCCGCGCTGCTGCCGTTTCAGTGCTATAGTAAGGAGGTAGTTCAGGGAGTATTCTACACGGGGGGAGGGATCGTATCTGTAAAAAATAAGGAATGAGCCTAGAATTCTTTCATTTTGGGAGGAAAGACAGATTAAAGCATCAGACAAATCAGTGGTTTGAGTTTCTAACATGTTTTTCTGGTTACTGACTTTTTCAGAATTGCTTTTTATGAGGTTACATTGCAAGCATTCTCAGAAAAGACATTCCAGTCTTGCGGTAGTTCTTATAACGTGGAACCTGGTAAAATGTACAAGTCACTGAAGTGACTACTTTGGCTACTGCAAGTGCCTAAGTTGATATAGTTAACCATAACAGGACTTCAGTGCTTAAATACCTCTGAAGCTCTGTAAAACACCTCTTCGGAGGAGTAACTGATTCTTTTGGGGACCGCAGAATGCAGAAGACATTGTGGACACTAATAAGCAGTTAAATAAAAAGAAGTTTGCAGAACATCTCGTACAATTGTGCTTTTGAACGCTTTGTTTTAATCAACAGTTTTGCTTTCCAGGTTTCACAGTAATACAACCTGTTAATATCTCTGAATGTATGTTTTTAATTTCCACTAGCATTAATTGGAGTTAAACATTTGCATTAAGTACATCTCCCTTGAGCTCTTTAACATTGCTTGCAAAATGTAATCAGATAGTAAATGATTGTGAATGTACAGTTAAAGAGTACAGGTGTTTTCAGCTGTGCATTACAGTGTTAATTATCCTGTTTTTTCTCAGACACTTTGTAATATCCTAGTAAAAAAGTGGTAGTAATGGGTGTTAATAGTATGGAGTAAAGTTAATCTATGTATGTTATATATTAGCTTATAATTATGATTTATTTTACAAATACAGTTAAACCACCTTTTGTTATTTGGACTGCAGGTCCTCAGCTTGTATGGAGAGTCTTGTGCCCCTCACTTTTAACGTCAGGTACATGTGGTTAGCTGTGAGAACTTTGGAAGGTCAACAGGATCTTGTGTGTTGAAAAGATTATGAAGTGCTGATGTGAAATAATCTTTCTACATCGAACAGTTCCTCAGAACTTGGGTCTCTGCTGCTGACCTTACTTCCATAAACTTCTTGCCTCCTTAAATTAAAAAAAAAACAAAATTTTAAGCTTGGCATGGCGAATTACCTTTAAAGTTGAACCTCTGTCACTTGTAGTGAGTTATAAACTGAAAGGACAGGTTTTTATGTGGCCTGGTTTTGGTCATTGTCTTTCTTAAGTCTTTTCGCAAGTTACGAAGTAATTTGCGTTATTGCTTAAGTCTGCATTTTGTGAACCTCAGGAAAATCTATCTGTAGATCCTAGTATCATGTTCCCCTCCCACAGCATTTCCCAAACTACTTACTGTTTCCCCAAGAAAATTAGTGAGAGGAAACTAAGGTGGCATCTTGCTGCTGAGCAGTTGTTTCCTTGATTTAGAGTGATATTTTATTTACTCCATATCACCAGCTGTGTCTATATGAAGATTTGTTTCCATTATTTTAAATTTCCTTCTTCCCGTTGTGTTCATTCCTTATCTGGTTGCTTTTTATCTGAGTCTTAATTATCCAAGGCAATGTGTACTCTGTACCTAACTCCAAGTACGTAAGCCTTTAAGTGTTTAGCATTAAGGATGTGTTTAAGTATTATTTTGAATTGACGCCTGAGTTAATTTTGCCAATGTAATGTTGGCACGCAGGGTCTTTGGAGCACTATCGCTGTGTTAATGAATGCTTCCAGTCCTTTAACCCATTGCTTTGCCTGTGATTTATAGCTTGTGTCCCACAATGCACTTGAATAAGACTTGGGCTGTGAAGATTGTACAGAGATGTTAGTTTAGAACATAAAGATAATATAGCAGTGTGACAGCTCAGCTGGTGCTACTTTTTTATAACACTACGATTAGGTAATTCTTGTATTAATTCTATAATCATTTCACGTAGATTTCCAGTGGGTCCAGGGAGATGTATG